GAAAACTTGACTGTTTCCATTGGATTAAAAAGTGCATTATATTTATTAGACTCAGTAGGGATGATATTTTCTCTTGTATCTTGAAGCATTCATTTTGGTTAGAGATCGCTGTTAACTATTTGCAGTTCAAGTACACTTTCCAAAGCTAATGATAAAAGTTAGATGGTAAAGGAGTTCCTTCTGTATGATTCATTTCTTTAATTGTATGGACAAAAATTAGTATTTGCACATACCAGTTTAGAAAAACGTTTCTAACATAAAGCACTATTTCCTCAAAATTAGAGATACAGATTAAAATAGTATAGTGACAGTTCAAAAACAACTTACTGGTCTGTTTGGTGTGAGCTTCATGTCCTTTTTTGCACACACACAAAGACATGTACAACAATGTCATTGACACTTCAGATCCGGCTTTAAAGGAGTTTAGCATAATGTGAACAATGACTTTCCTCCAAGAATGTCAGTGATGACAAAGATGCATAAATCTAAAGAGGAATGAGGAAAATAAACTTCACAAGAATGCAAATTAGTAGTAGCAGGAAAAATAGATACCATAAAAATTCTTCAAAAAATTTTACTGATGCTATGCTTTATACACAGACAATTACGCATTATAAATTATATGTGTACATGCAGAGTACCATTTGTATCTGGAAATGTCCCCCAGTGGGCAGGTTTTCTCCCCACTGTACTAAACCCAGTCTCTGGCTGGGGGTCTAGGCACATGGTCTCGCAAAGGGATAGTTTTTTTGGGTGGTTTTCGAGCCTTCTACTTCTTTAAAAGTAACAGAGATAATGAGAAAAAGAAATTGTATCAGTTTGTGGTGGTATGAAATAATCACTTTTTCCTATTAAAGGACTTATCCAACTTACTTTTTCCAGGCTCCCAACTGCCTTTTGATTCTTTCTGCTAAATGGTTAATGAATAGTTTGCCTTTTCAAAAACTCTAAGTGTTCCTTTCATTACATTAAGCATGAAACATCTTGGCTGCCAAACAAAGTCAAGGCAGGGGGGTAGACAGGATGGAGGGAAAACAGGAAGGGAAAAGAGAAGAGAAAAGGAAGAAAAAAGGAAAGAAGAAAAGCATTTTCCCCTAAATGTTTCAACAGACCACAAGGCTTTTATGTAGAACTATGAAGTAGGTTCACCAAGGAGTGCTTATTCAAGATTAAATGATTCAGAAATAAGCAACTTTTGATTGCTTTCCCACTATAAAAATTCAGGGTCCTCTGAATGACCCAAAGCATTAATGAGTGACCTTAAGAACTGAGGGCTTTGTGGTGGACCTCTTCCCCTGTAACGTGATTTTAACTCCCGGGAGCTCCTGGAAGCCTTCTAAAGTAACTTGGCATCTTCCAGCCATCTTCCCAGTCTTCATCTCCTGGCCTTGGATCAAAATACTGGAGAGGCAGTTACTACTTTCTCCACCAGTGGGTGGTATTCCCTCCCTCTCTCCACATATACATATACCACACACACAGCATCAAATGCAGATGATCTGATTTCCAGAAAACGTATTCAAGTTTTATGAACTCCTTCGTAGATTAATTCAACCAAGAATGCCAACCATGTGTGAGAAACTGTGTTAGGTCTTGGGAATACAAAGGGAAATAAGTGGTCCTTGCCTTTAGTGGGTTAGAAAGATGTTTTCAAATTTCATCACCTCTTTGTCTAAGGCAGCACGTTTAACCGTGGGTGGGAGGGCCAGGGCGTCTGGGAAAGCAATGTATGATATTTTCAGGCATATTTATTTGTTTCGAGAGTGTGTAAGAATCTATTATCCTTCATACATTTTATTACCTCCTTGTCTTTTTTTTTTAATACTTTGCTTTTCCTTTGAGGCCATTTCTTTCTCCTTTTCCACTCTCAAATCCCAGATCAAATTTTACCACTTGCTTAGTTTTCCCTGACACCTTCAGTTTTACAGTTGCCTTCCTGTTATACACCTATTACAGCTCTTAGGTATTACAATTGCACGAGTTCTATGAAAAGGGCATTATATTCTCATTCATACTAAGCTCTCAATAAATGTATATTTGAGAGAAGAAAAAGACAGGGAGGTTTGTGTGTTCCAGACTTGGTCTAAACTGAGTTCCTGTAGGAAAGAGCAGGGTGTTGTGTGGTAGTTTTGTTTGGTTTTTGTTTTTGTATAATCATTTCTATCCTTTTATTCAGCAGAGTATACCTGTTTGTCCAACTGGTTTGTTGAAAATTAGAGAAAATAAAAATAGAACTTGTTCTACATATTACTCTTAAGAAGTTTGTGCTATTCACCACCTTCTTGTTTATAATGCAAAAATACACCCAGAGTAACTAAGATTCTCATTATTTTCATTCCTCAAGAATGTTTAGATAGAGCACTTTTAGAATAATGTCCCCAAATGGCTACTTTCTTGAATCTTAAATATGGGTGCTTCTCTTACAAAGATTAAAAAAATAATAACCTCTACAGAAATCCTTCTGCAAAGCCTTGCCACATGCACACTAGAGTACTTTGAAAATGTGCTCTTCAAGCAGAGGGGTGGTGATCTGTGCATTTAAATATGTCATTATTATGTAGCAGATAGGGGAGAGGCCTCAGATAGTGATTACCAGTAAATAAGAATTTTTATTCACTTGGTTAAAAATATGGTTTCCAAATGCAAATAAAGCACAATACCTATTTGCAGAAATAGCAGCGAGATTTAAGAGGCAATGAAATGTTGAAGATGTTGATTGTTTTATTATAAGTCAGAATTAATATTTAAAGAATTATATACCATATGCCTCAGCATTTGATATGTTATTACCTGACTCTTTGTGAACATAGTTATTATTTCATGATAATATTCTATAAATATTTATATATTTTCAAACAGAGGGTGTTTTTAAATTTCATTTTTTAAATGAAACACTGAGAGCTTTTTAAAAAGCAGGCATGACAGCTGGGAAAAGTTACAAAGTTGTGCTACCTTCATAGTCTGTAAGGTGTGCTGGTCTGTACTAACCACTACAACGTCTGCCAGTGTCGTCAGTAATGATGATGATAACTCCTTTTATTTGTATGGACTTTTACAAGGCCTTCACTTACCTATTTTTGATTCTCATAATAACTTTTCCTTAGGAAAAATTTAAAGATAGGAAAGTATCATATGCAATAAGATGTTCATCCCTGTGTTAAATACAATAATGAAAAAATCAAAATATAAGTGCCAGACTGTATCAGAATGTTTTCTAATATGGTTAATCCATATGCTACATGGTTAAATATATTAATATAAAGTCTATATATCAAAAAGGAGAAATTCTTGTATTATTCTGTTATGAGAGAACAAGAAGAATATAAAATTATATTTGTGCTATGATTATCACTGTGGAAACATTTCTGTGTATTTGGACAATGCCTCAATGGTAACTTGGTCAAATGTAAAACTTCTTTAGGCATAGAAGAGCACTAAAATGTCTGAGTTATTTTAGATTGTCAGTAACACTGCTATTGTTCATTATACCATATACATGTTTATATTTTAATATAAAATTAGATGCATATGCTTGTAACAATAAATATTTGCCAAATGCATGTATTATGTTGAAACAATGCATCTCTCAAGGGGGAAAGCTTTTATGAGAAAATGATTATAGGTTGCTTTTCAACAGAATGTGATTCTCACCCTCCTCACCCCACCCCTCGTGCACCTGAGTCACCAGGGTGATTTCAAAGAACTCTGCTGCTCAGGGCGCTGTGCCCAAGATGAGTTTCTGCCTGGTCTGGATAGGCCCCCAGCGTTGCTTTTTTCTTTTCTTTTCAAGTTATCCAGGTAATCCTAGTGTGCAGCTTGGATTGAGAGCAATTAAAACAATTATAATATCCAAAGTCTTAAACTTTTAAATATTAAATTCCCAGAATTTTCATCTCACATAAATAAGACTTCCAAAACTAAAAATGCCTTTTGAGTGAAGACTGGTCTGATTTAAGGAATCACGAATACAAAGAAAGTACTTTTATGCTGTCAGAGTAGCAAAGATTTAAAAATAGTAAAATACAGTGTTGGTGAGAATGACCAATGCCATACACTATTTATAGAAATGTAAATTAAATGTATATTGATCAAGTTCTCTCTAGGGCAGTTTGACAGTATGTATTCAAAGCTTTATGTGTATGTAAATGCTTTTGTCCTTGGAATTCCACTTTGAAGGGTTGAGCCTTGATAAGGAATTGAGCATATTGACAAAAATGAGTTAATGTTTCCAAAGTGTTGCTTATGATGTGAAAGATTGTAAACAATCAAAATATCACATCTGTGGATTGATTAAATTATGGTGTATTCATACATGATACTAGTAAAGTAATTCTGTAGTTAAATGAGTTAATATGGAAAGATACAATATATTGACAAATGAAAAAAGTTATAAAACAGCATAATTCCCTTTTTGTTAAAATATATAACATATCTACGTGTGTGTATACATAGGTATGTGTATATGTATATATGTGCATATATGTGTGTATAGAGAGGTGGGATAACTACATTAAAATATTAAAATAAGGTAATTTTTAATTTTTGTTCTATACTTATGTATATTCTACTTATTTTTTTCACTAGAAGTACTAGTATTACACATAAAGATCAACAACTTCTTAAAAATGAAAAATATATATCTTGAAAAATGAAGACTTCTGCTTTTGTCTAACCCAAACAAATGAACTACTACAGAACTTCTTCCATCTTCACTTTGCCCAACTGTGAAAAATGAGCTATTTGATAGAAACAGCTATTTCTCAATATGCTAAACTTCTCCAATACATTTATTTTCAAAGTGGATTAGGAAGTATAAAGTTAAACTTGTGTCACTAACAGAGGGCATATCATCTTTGATCACAATTAATCTGATTAAAACCAGTAAAGGTGACATGTAATGAATTGATTGAAAAGTTTCTCAGTGTGTTGTTATGGGGTTGTCTTCCTTGACGACCATCATTAACAAGTGCTGTTCTTGTTTTGCTGTTTCCCCATTGCAGGCAGGTCAGGACCGTCATCCTCCATTGCCATAGCCGGCACCAGCCACCCTGCCATCACAAAGACAACATCTGTTCTTCAAGACGGCGTCATAGTCACCACTGCAGCTGGAAACCCACTGCAGAGCCAGCTGCCCATCGGGAGCGATTTTCCTTTTGTTGGCCAGGAGCACGCACTTCATTTTCCATCCAACAGCACTTCAAACAACCATCTTCCACACCCCTTGAACCCCAGCCTCCTCAGTTCTCTACCTATCTCTTTGCCAGTGAATCAACAGCATCTCCTAAACCAGAATCTATTAAATATCCTCCAGCCTTCAGCAGGAGAAGGCAAGTCTGAGATCAACCTCCACCCCTTAGGTTTTCTCAACCCGAATGTAAACGCTGCTTTAGCTTTTCTCTCCGGTGATGTGGATGGGCAGGTATTGCAGCCTGTTCACTTTCAGCTCTTAGCAGCCCTGCTTCAGAACCAAGCCCACGCAGCTGCCATGCTTCCCCTGCCATCTTTCAATCTGACCATCTCAGATCTTTTTCAACAGCAAAATACCCCCTTTCCCTCATTAACACAGATGACAGCCCCACCAGACCATTTGCCAAGCAATCAGTCAGAGAACAGCCAAGCTGAGACCCTTTTAACCAGCCCCCTGGGGAACCCTTTACCAAGCTTTGCAGGCAGTGACACTGCTTTTAACCCCCTGTTCCTCCCAGCTGTCACTGGGGCCTCAGGATTAATGGCCTTGAATCCCCAGCTGTTGGGAGGTGTCCTGAACTCGGCATCGGCCAACACCGCTAATCATCCAGAGGTTTCCATAGCAACTTCTTCCCAGGCAACCACTACCACAACCACTACATCATCAGCAGTGGCAGCACTGACTGTCTCAACACTTGGTGGGACAGCAGTGGTGTCAATGGCAGAAACATTGCTGAATATATCTAATAATGCTGGGAACACACCTGGTCCAGCTAAACTCAACAGTAACTCTGTGGTGCCACAGCTACTTAACCCTCTACTGGGGACAGGTTTGCTTGGTAAGTTAAATTTTTTCACAAATTTTTACAAAAGAAACGTTTTTCTAATTCTATTTTCTCCTTTTTAAAAACTCCATTTTGTCACACTATTTTTAAAAATGTTTTTGTTATGTCACAGCTTGCTTAAGGAACTAAATATAATAACACCCGCACACAACCTAGTTATACAAACATGAAAATGACTTTTTTCTTTTCCCCTATTCTAGCAATGCTAAATATTTTAATTTGTTTTCTCATCTTCTAATTCTGATGCCACCTAAACCTAACCTATTCATCATTCTTTTAAGCCAAGTAGAGTCTTATTTTTCAAATAATAAAGCACAGGTACATCTTAAAAATAACTTTTATTTGAATTTTAGTTGGTGTGGCATCACAGGGTTAGTATGAGCAGCTGCACTGTGGATGGAAACAGTCTGAGGAAGTGTTTTTCCAGGTGATCTCTAAATAAACAGAACTAAATACTTATCCAGCAAAATAAAAAACAAGGCATACAAACATTCAAAATTAAAGTTTGCCCAGGTTCAAGGAAACAGCCCCGATAGTTACTGCTAGATTTCCTCAGACAGTAGTAGTTAAAATTTTGTGACTTACAAACAGAATCCTTCCTGTAGATTATATTATCACAAAAATGTTAGAATATAATGCCAGGTATATTCCACTGCTTGATGCAGGTAACTGGAATAAACAGAGATGGTTCCCATAAGTCTGGAAGCATCGGCAGATGTACTCGATACTCATGTTTGGTGTATGTAAACATACATTTTTTATATATTCATATTTATATATACATAAGTACATATATTTGCAGATTTATGGATACCTTTATAACATAGTTTCATTAGTTCTATTTGGCATTGAAATCAATGGAGGTAAATAATCTAAAAAGCATAATAGATTTATATATTTCAAATTACAGGACAATTTCTGTGACATCATCCTCAAAATAACTTCAGCATAATTTCAAAACAAGTCTATTCAATTTTGAATATAAATTTAGTTATTAACTAATCCTACCTAATGTCTAATCATTATTTTTAGTGATTGTGACAATGATGTCTTTTTTACTGCTAGCTTTGTTCACAACTTTAATTTTTAGACAACCAACCTTTTACTTAAAAATAAAATACATATTTCCAGACCAAATCCAATTTTATTTGGTGGTAATTACAGATGATTGTGATTTGAGATCTAAATTTTGTAAATAAGGCCTGATCAGAGCCACTCATTTTAATCATCTGGTCAAATCCTTGTGATTGCTAAAACAGTGTAGGACTAATTTCTACCTTTAATTGTAGGTGATTTAATAAAAGTAGATTCAAAGAATTTTTTAACACTGAAGCTAAATATAAGGCCTGGTTAGTGGATAAAGCAAAGACTAGTTTCTCCATGATATAAAATTTAAAAAAAACTAATTACGAAAGATATAATTAAATAGTAAAATACTCTTTCCTTACCACCTAGTAAGACTTTGAGGAGAAAAAGCGAAAATTATCATGTAAGTCTCGTTTATAGTTTTTGTTTTAGGAATTGTCAGGCACAAAGGTAGGCATAAAATTGCCAAAGAATCACATTGACTTACATTTTATGTTTTTCAAACTATAGGTGACATGTCCTCAGTAAACAATACTTTGAATAACCATCAACTGACTCATCTACAGTCGCTGTTAAACAACAATCAGATGTTTCCTCCAAATCAGCAGCAGCAGCTTCTCCAGGGCTACCAGAACCTCCAAGCATTTCAAGGACAGCCCACAATCCCTTGCCCAGCTAACAGTAACCCCATGGCTTGCCTGTTTCAGAACTTTCAGGTACTCTCCTTCCTTGGGTCACTTTAGTAGAGAACAATGTCTAAACTTTTTGAACACTTTGGGGGAAGAGACAAAAGAAGGAAGTTACATGCCCTTCTACCTCTACTCACTGTCTTTTCTCAGTAATGATTGTTACACATTCTAGTCTTTTGTGTGAAGCTTATTTTATTTTGTCTGAAGCATGTCAGTGGTCCTTTTGGGGCAGTTAGTAAAAACTGATCTTGGCACCCTCTCAAACCCTTTTGAGGGTTTAAGCCAATTGCTCTCATGATTAAAAGCCACAGCCTTAACATGCCTACCTCACTCTCCAGCCCCAGCTCTTACTACTGTCTCCTTGGCTTCAGCCACATGGTCTTCTTTTAGTTAAACAAACTGAATAAATCCCTGATAAATTTAAGAGCTAGATGCAAAAAGTAACACTAAATAAATACAAGAAGAAAATACAGAATTTTTAAAAATAGTCTTGGGCTCTGGCTGGTGTAGCTCAGTGGGTTGGGCATTGTCCCATAAACTGAAAGGTCACAGTTCGACTCCCAGTCAGGGCACATGCCTGGGTTGCAGGCCAGGTCCCCAGTTGGGAGTGTGCAAGAGGCAACCACACATTGATGTTCTTCTTCCTCTCTTTCTCCCTTCCATCCCCTTTCTCTAAAAATAAATAAATAAAATCTTAAAAATTAAAAAAATAATAATCTTGGAATAGAGAAGGCTCTTTCATCAAGACACAAAACCAAGTAGTTTTTTAAAAAGTTATGTAATTGAATACATACACCTTTAAAATCTTTATCTTTAAAGATAAACTACTAATAAACATGAAAGAATAATCAGCATTATATAAATTACAACACTAATGTGTCATTGGATTGATGATACCTTGTTGACAGTGGTGTGGGATAATGGATTCTTGGAGATTTATTCTTGGTCTGATTATATGCTGATTCAGTCCTTTTGATAGTTTATCAAGTTTTTAAATATACATGTCTTTGACCCAGAAATGTAACTTCTGTGTATCTATTCTAAAGAAATCTTCATATGTGAACAAAAGGGCACAATTCAGAATGTTTGTTACAATTACTTAAGTGTCCATCAGTAGGGGCATAGTCAAATATGCTATGGTAGATTCATCTACCTAGTGGTTTGACAGATTAGCTAGATTTATATAATCTGACATGAAAAGATCCACAAGATTGCAAGACTCCAGTACTATAGTATTACAGAAGAAAACTGAAATACAATGTCATTTATGGGAAAGATATGAAGAAGAAAAGGAAGGAGGGAGGAAGGGAAGGGAAGGGAAAACCAGATATTCACCTACACATTTTAATGTATTAAAAATAAGTGTCTGCAAGGAAATGGGATTGGAATGGGATGGGAAAGTACAGGTTTAGGTGGATTGTAATGATAAAGAAAACTTTTGTTTTTGACAATGAGAAAATACTCATAGACATATAATTTAGAAGGGAAGAGGAAGTGCTTAGCCATGTCACTGAGAAAATAAGGGGATAAAGCCTGAAGAGATACTATTTGATTCAGCAGTGAGAATATGACCAGTGACTTGGTGGAATGCAGTTCTGATGGAGTAATTGGAGCAAGAGCCAGAGTGCAATGGATGAAAGGATTGAAAAGATTAGGAATTAAAGAGTGAAATAAAAAATTTCAAAAATATAACTCTGAAGAACATAAGAAAAACAGGGTAGTGCCCCAAGACAGATGTAGGTTGAATGCCAATTTTTAAAATAGGAACACCATGCACATAGTTACGTGCTAAAGGAAAGAGGCAAAAAAGTTGAAGAGATGGTGATTACCAGAGGGAAAGAGAGTGGGGGTTGGTGGAAGAGGGTAAAGAGAAAATAAATGTCTTTGGGTGGTAACACAATACAATATACAGGTGATGTATATTACAGAATTGTACACGTGAAACCCTATATAATTTTATTAACTAGTGTCACTGCAATACATTGAATTTTTAAAAAGTGGAAGAGAACATAAAGAAGGGAAGGAATAATAGATAAGGCAAGATCCCTGAGCAGGGGCTTGGAATCCAAAGCATAAACGGAGAACTTACTCTCAGAGAGCAGAAGGGACCCCTCTTACACTGGGAAACTGGACAGGGTTTAGGACACACATGGTTGCAGAGAAGGATGTGCAGCCAGAAGGCAGAGAGGAGCAGAGTGTAAGACTTAAAAGAATTCTTAATTTATGAACTCCATCCTCTGTGTTAAGTAAGGCCATCTCCTAAGTGCAGGAGATGGGATAGCAGCTGGCTTGTGGAAGTGGGTAAAGATTTGAACAGTGGTGAAGAAGAGTGCTGTCTAAGTGGAGGATCACAGCATTGGTGGAAACAGTAAGCTCCCAGCTGGATTGGAAGCCAGATACTCAGCATCCTCAATGTAGATGTAGATGAAGCAGGCTGTTGAATTGATTCAGGACTGGGATTCTATCTGGTAGGTGCAGACAAGGGGAGAATGGCAAGAGAGTAGTTGATGTGCTGATGGGTCCCAAGTCTTAGTTTGGTGGAGGAGGATGGGAAAACAGGAAAGGAATCACCACTGAAGGGAAAACACCAAGTATCAAAGGTCTGGAGCAGCAATTCTTAGACGGGGTTGATGAAATTAGAATAACCTTGGGGATGTGTTCAAATTGCACGCATTCTTCCCATCCTGAGATCTGATCATTTCCCCGGGGGGCATTCCCTCCCTCTGCCTCTTCTCCACTGAGAATCACTTCCATAGGGAACCATTGTCACTGCCGACAGCATGGGGGTGACCCTCAGCTGATGGCCGGGCAAGGGTGAAAAGTAGGTGTTATGACCCTACCTGAAGACTTTCAAAATTTGGTGTTATATCAGAAATATCTTATTGTAAGGAAAGGTGTATATGTTTGTTTTGTTTTATGTTGTATATATTTCACTTAATTCAGTAGAAATCATTTTCAAAATTGGATTCCCTTTGTAATTTGAGCAGTGTTGGTGACTGAATCCCAAGTTGCAAAACATGTAATGATACTAAATACTTGGAATCACCACCATAAAACACACTAGGTCCAACAGCCTCAACTTTAATTTTTCTAGAGAATGTTTAGTAATGATTTTTTTTAAAATCTGAATGGTTTTAACCAAAGCAACAGTACCTAAATATAATGGAGGCATAAGCTTTTCTATACAGAGTGGCTTTTTATTTCATTTTTGAATCTTGTTTTTTCTTTACATTTTCTTCCTTGTTATACCTGTTTGTCTTTTGGTAGATCTTAAAATTATGTCTTTCTCTCTGAGGTCTTTAATTTTTTTTTCTCTCTCCACTGCTTCCTGTCTATTTCTTTAAGGTGAGAATGCAGGAAGATGCAGCTCTCCTCACCAAAAGAATAAGCACTCAGCCAGGGCTCACAGCACTTCCTGAGAATCCAAACACTGCACTCCCACCCTTCCAAGATACATCTTGTGATCTGCAGCCGAGGATGGACCCGCCTCTTGGTCAGCAGGTGAAGGACGGCCTTGTTGTGAGTGGCCAAGGTGATGCCTCCGTAGATGCCATTTACAAGGCAGTTGTTGATGCAGCCAGCAAAGGAATGCAGGTTGTCATCACCACTGCAGTCAACAACACGACCCAGATCAGCCCCATTCCAGCTCTGAGTGCCATGAGTGCCTTCACTGCTTCGATTGGTGACCCATTAAGTCTCCCCAGTGCTGTCAGTGCAGTCATCCATGGACGGAACGTGGGCACTGTCGATCATGACGGGAGGCTGAGGAGTGCCAGAGGGGCTCGGCTGCCCAGGAACCTGGACCAGGGGAAAAACTCAAACGAAGGAGATGGGTTTGAATACTTCAAGTCAGCAAGTTGCCACACATCTAAAAAACAGTGGGATGGGGAGCAAAGCCCTGGAGGGGAAAGGAACAGGTGGAAGTGTGAGGACTTTTTAGATCATGCAGGCCATGTTCACAGTAGTCCTTGTCACGAGAGGTCCAACAATGTCTCTACACTGCCATTTCTGCCTGGGGAACAGCACCCAATACTGTTACCACCAAGAAACTGTCAAGGGGATAAAATTCTGGAGGAGAATTTCAGGTTTAATAACTACAAAAGAACTATGATGAGTTTTAAGGAGAGGCTAGAGAACACCATGGAGAGATGTGCACACATTAATGGGAACAGACCACGACAGAGTCGTGGTTTTGGAGAGTTGCTGAGCACCACCAAGCAAGACCTGGTCCTAGAGGAGCAGTCTCCGAGCTCCTCAAACAGTTTGGAAAGTTCTCTGGTCAAAGACTACATCCATTACAATGGAGACTTTAATGCCAAAAGCATTAATGGGTGTGTGCCTAGCCCTTCAGACGCTAAAAGCATTAGTAGTGAAGATGACCTACGGAATCCAGACTCCCCCTCTTCAAATGAGTTGATACATTATAGGCCAAGGACGTTCAACGTTGGCGACTTGGTCTGGGGCCAAATCAAAGGACTGACTTCCTGGCCTGGAAAATTAGTAAGAGAAGACGACGTTCACAATTTATGTCAACAAAGCCCCGAGGAAGGGAAGGTATACAAATCTTTATCCATTGTCAAATACTAACCTTTATTCCGATATCAATTATTTTTTGTTATCATCACTTTGGATTCTTTGGATTTGAAATTAGGATTCTCCATGACTCATTCAGGTCTCATAAACTTCTGGAGCATAAAGTGAAGAGGGGAAGTTTATAGTCACCAAATGTCATATCATCAAGGGGTGAGTTGTGAAACGTCTGTAGATTCCACTAAGGCTCAGAGTGGTTCTAACCTAGGAACCAGAGGCAACAGGAAGTGCCAGGGGACAGCTTTCCCTCCGTGTGCTTCCATGTGACCCTTAGCGCTGGGGAGAGGGTAAAGTTGGGTGGAGCTGCAGCCATTTCTGGAAGCAGCAGGTAATGTCTGGAATCAGAATGATGTCTCCTTTCAGGAAAAGTTCTGGGTCTTTATAACACATGGAAATGTTTAACCCCATAGTCTGGTTCTACTTAACAAAATCTGATCATATAAATTAAATGAAAACTCCATGAAACTACCATTCAATTTAGAAGAAATTAGTAGGGGTCTTCTGGTCTTTCTCCCCCCACCCCAGAGTTGGTAGAAGTGATTCACTAGGCCAGAAATATGCAGAATGTTTAAAGTATAAAAATTTACATCTGACCAGGAGGAAATAATAATGCATATTCCCCACATATAGTGAAGAAACATATAATTTTTCATCTCCTTAGGAAATAAAAATTACTCTTCCAGGTATATAGTATTATTCTTTTAAAGAGTATATTGTGCAAAGCTATTTCAACTCTGCTCAAACCTCCACTGGCACTTCGGTTTAATGGCAGGAAACCAAAAGCATTTTTGCCAGCACAGTAAAAAGATTGTCTTTCTCCAAATGACCGGGAGGTCCTTGAACCCATTGCTCATAATGCCTAATATATACTTGTCGGGATACATTCTGGGCATAATGTTTCTACGTTTGATAAGAAAATGAACTCCATACTCCTATTCACAAAACGTTTTATGCTTTAATCTCTCTGAGACCAGACAAACATTCTTTAGGTTGATAAACCTAAATGTGTTTGACAGTTTATTCAAAAATAATTAGAAACAGCAAAATTGAGCTTTTATGATATAAATGGAACTGCTGCAAACACAAGATGTAGACATTGAACTGTTTTACAACGTCTGTGCAAATGAAACCACGTCTTTTTTTATGCGCCATTTTCAAAAGCTTAACTAAAGAAAAGATTATGGCGTCTCTCTGTTTCCTGGAAACCTTCTTCCTGACCTAAATGCCTTGTCTAAACATCTTTTTATGTCCCCAGGAGATGAGCGGCATGTACCTTTAACACATTTCACATTAAACAATGGTCCTAATCTTCTGATTAGTCTATGTTGGAAAACTCCTAAAATTGAGTTCTTTACTGATATTTGGGGAGATGTAGTTTTTAAAAACCACCATTATCTAAGAGTCCAAGAAACATTTATTTTTCTTCATTTAAGCAGGCAACTGGTTTAGATTTCCAAAAATCTAGATTCTTCTTCCTTATTGTAATCAATACACGAATTCTTAATAGGAAGCATAAATTTGTATCTGTAACTTAAAATATCCGCCCCCCACTGGCTGACACTGTAGTTTTGCATTCTCAAAACATTGCTATGAAGATACACTACAAGTATTTTTAGTAATTCAGAAAAGATAATTCAGAGCACATGTTTAGAGGTGAAAAACTGAAAACATATATGTAATGAAATATTAATAACACACGAAATATTTATCTATCCTTAAAAAGCAAGGTATAATAACCTTAAATGCTCTAGGGCACTTCACGTTTTTGAAAACCTCAGGTCTTTCCAGGGCCTACCTCACTTTTTCACGGGAGAAACAAAGTGCTGCTTCACAAAGAATCTTTTTTTCTCCTGTAGGTCACAAAACAAAGGAAGGGCTTCCTCATACCTTATTTAAAGATGCCCAGCTAGCCAAACAGTGTTCCCAGTGTAACACCAGAAAAGGCAAAACTTCACACACAGTCCTGACTTCAAGCCAGCTGGCCTTTGCCTGGCGACTTGGTGATCCTGGTTCACCCAGAGAAAGTTACACTATGTCTAATTTCTGTGTAAGACAAAGCAGGATCTATTTGAAAAGATTTCCAGTAAAACACTTTTTTAAAAATTTGTACTCTTATTTAAGTGAACAAAGTGTGATGTGAATTTAATTTATGTAGCACCCTTTAGTTCTCAACAATGTTGGATCAAGTCTACCACATTAATAACCAGATTTCTGCTTTTAACGGGTGAGCAAGACATTAGGGTTTCTTCTATACACTGTGGCAATGCCTGACATTTTAATGAAGTCGAAAGAGAAAAATAGGCTGACTCTGTAAACAATTTGTTTATTCTAGTAAGATCTTATTAATTCCACCTTACCAATGCGGAAGGGACTGTTTTCCCTAGTGTTTATCTTTGTAACATCTCAGAGGAAATGGTTTCCTAGACAATTTTCTTACACATTATCCTTTTAAAACTTCTTCACCTCTCAGTTTTTCATATGATTTCTCTATGAAAGCAAATTAATCAAAGATCCTGTCAGATCCCACCAGATAAAATCTTTGTTAACTCCGGTTTTAGAGTAGATGTATTATCTTATCTCCCTACCACCCCACATCCCACAAACCTATCATTTATTTTATGTGTCAGTCTTTGTTCTCAGCAAGCCCTGTAAATTCTTTTTGGAAGCAGGCCAAGCAGGGGAAAATAAATAATTAATTGACAGGACTGCAGGTTACTGAGTCAGAGCAGACCAGGCACCTGCCATGTTTCTGGCTCTATGAGGGGCCTCTGGACTGAGAGGCCGGTGCTGTGGTGGAGCAGTGATACCTGCTGGGGGCTGAGATCTCCATCTCCAGGTTGTCCATGAGCCGATGCTTTAGCCAACTTCTTGTCATGATAGTAAATGACTGGTTCATTTTGTGATTTTAGAAAGGCACTTTCAACCTTTGGTGGGGTATGACATGTAGCAGAATTATGAATAAACCATGAGAAATATTCTGTAGTTTCTGAGATTACTTCATAAGATGTGTGATGTCTAAACATCAAATACTTCCTGAACACAGTCTACAGAAAACTAGAGAGAGAGCAAGGTGTGACCAGGAAGAGGCATGGGCTTTGGGCATTCTGACTCGAGCTTCATCCCAGCTCTGCCAGTTACCAAAATGGTCCTGGGTAGGCAGATTCGTCTGCCAGAGCTGCAATCTTCGCACCTCTCCAGTGGGAATATTAATTCCTACTCAGAATGACATTTTTAAGAATTAAAAATGGTAAACAAGATACCATAAATAGATTATCCAGCACACAAAAAGGCTCAGTAAAAATGAGCCTCCTCACCCCAGCTCTCTGTGTAAGACAACCTGGTTAATTTGGCTTCCAGTGCTATGGAATTGTGGCCATTTCACCTTAGTTAGTGCTTATCTGTGCATTATCCATGAGTACAGGGTTTACTAACCAGACTGAGTATAAAAGGGTTATAAGGAAGATATCCAGTGAATGAAATAATTTATAACTTTTTATAAACCTTAGCATATCATACAAGTTGGCATATCTGATTATAAATTAATATTAGCTATTCATTTCATGCAGGAGCTCAACTTGGAAGCATTTCAGAGCTTTAAGTTATTAAGTGAGCTTGAACGTCCTCTTCTCTTCAGAGTTGCTAAAAAATGTAAACTCACACTTTCTTCCTCTACCTTCCTTCACACCCTTCTCCCATCTCCCTTCACACCCTTTCCCCCGACCAACAACATTAATTAGCAAGATTTCTAACCATCTGTGACAAGTTGGACTGCTCACCCCTGTATAATCCTGGACCTGGACCAGCACTGAAGCTGTGTGGCTGTGCTGAGGATATTGTGTGATGTCTTATACCATTCGGGAAGTGGTATTGCCTACTAATAATTTTTTTCCTTTGGTTACCAGTTTGTAATGAAGTATCTTCTTCTGGAAAATATTTATACTTTTTCTAAATAAATGCAAGTTTCTCTCTAATCCCTGAACCCTTTATAGTTTAAGGTTCAGGGACCAAGGGTATGTACGTGCCCATTCATGGCCAGAGAGACTCACTGCCAGATCCTGGTGCCAGATTAGAGAATTCTTGCAAAGCAAACGGCTTCCACTGGCGCTACACCTATATGCTGCACTGTGCAAACACTTTAAGGCTATGCAACTGTGGGGGAGACAGTTATCTTTATGTACCTGTTTCACTGATTATTTAAGCATAGGAAAAATGCTCTTGTTGTGTAAAACAAATGTTGTAATTCTCATCTTTGATTTTACATTAACTAGCCTGAAAGGGATGATTCTCTTTTTTCTTTTCTAATAACAAAAAATAAAGTTCTTATTTTCTTCTGAGTAGATAATTTTTACTTTTCTGAACGTTGTTGCCCCATGTTATTGGACTTCACATGTTATTGCTCTAACATTTGATACTTTTTCTGACTCAAGCTTAACTTAGGAAGGGATGTATTTCTAGATTGGCACCAGAATGTCTCTTTTCAATGGGACGTTTGTTGTTTGACAAATGGAGACATCTTCTGATTGTGCAGAAAAGTTGTCCGTGTCAGTGCGACAGCACCTGGTTTGATATCGACAGGCTCTGCAAGGCAGGGGGCCGGGTGCTCCTTCCCTAGACTCACCGTTGGCTTTTCCTGCACCATCGTGTTCGGCAGGTAGAGGTAAAAACAGTTCTCTCGATAGTTGTTCAAAGCAGACAGAACTCATAAGAAAATCAATTTGAGGACCACTCACTTCCTGTATGTCAGCTCCACATCCCATGCTCACACGTTTTGGCAGTGTGGGCCCAAACCAGAGACAGGCTGCCATCATACTCGGGGGATGGAGGTAACTGAAGAAACTGAGCCTAGGGACTGACTTTGGGAGGTTACCCTCCTGTGATGTTTAAAATTTTCTTTTCTTTTTTTTTATTATATTTTATTGATTGTGCTATTACAGTTGTCCCATTTTCCCCCCTTCACTCCCCTC